GTACTGCGGCAGTCATACAGACAAGTGGACGGTCCAAAAGTTGGCCTACCTATTACTGGCTGAGGTTTTAGTAGAGTTGTGGCTGAACCACATAAAAATATATCGTTAATTTTAATCTCCCCAATCCATTATAATGTTATATGAGTATGAGTAAAATCAGGTTTTTTCTCTTTGTCAGTTTAACAGTTTCTGTTTTGCCTGTCACTGTCCCCTGTCTGTTTTCTTACCTGGTTCTTCCTGACCTTGTACTTTCTCCTCACGTTCCCCTCTTTCCTCTCTCCTTCTTCAGACTGACAATCATACACAAATTGATTGTATTCAATTAGATGATAAATTACATTAATATAAAAAAAATACTATTAAGATCACTAACAAAAAGTCCTCTCTCAGTGTAGTTTCAACCAAAAGGCAAATAACCAAACCACATGAACATCTAATAAAATATATAAATATTGAAACACTGATCCAACATTATTCTTGATTAACAGATCATTTGATTTTACACTTTTACCTGAATGTGACTCCTTTTTTTGAAAAAACCTCCTTATATCCATTATGAACCTGGCTGTCTCTCTGCACGCACGCACGCACGCACACACACACACACACACACCAGGAGTTATAAGGTTAATGGGCATTCAGTCAGTTAGCTAGTTAGTTTCCATTTCAAACAGGACAGTGGTAACAACAGCAGGCTAGGACAATTATAAGTTTTAGATTTTAAATACGCTGTATAAATTTCAATGGGAGCAACAGGACGATCAAGTATCGCTGATTTTACTACAGAGCAGGACGGATTGTAGGGTAGCAAACATCATCGGAAAACGTGTTTTCAACACTGCAGGTTACCTGGGTGTAATGTTTTTCAGCTAAAAAGAAACATGGTCTGACTCCTACCTAACTATATAAAGAGTAGCTGAAGGTTAAATGCAGCCAACATGTCCTGTTTTAAGCCAGGCACTTACACCTCTGCTCTGCTGAGTCTCAGACACCATGGCTCTGGCAGAAAGGGGCGGGCGCCAGAGCCAGAGCAGGGGAGAGGCGAGCTGGAACAAACCATTTTGGGAGGGGGGGAGGTTATCTATAATTTTGTTGCTAAAGTGTTACGTCTCAACCAAGTACTGTATGCTTTTATATTTTTAGTAGTGTGTCACACAAACAGCTGAAGCACCCCGAAAATGGGCTAAAATCGCCCCTGGTTGAGATCATGTGACTGATCGGCCAGTTGAAGAATATTCCATTTCTTTGCCTTGAGAAACTCTTTGCATTTGCAGTTTGCTTTGGGGGGCTGCTATCCATTTGCACTGTCAACTGCCTGCCGAGCAGTTTTGCAGCATTTGGCTGAATATGAGCTGAGAGCATAGCCCTGTACAGTCACATCACCAATAAACACTAGTGACCTGGTTCTATTGGCAGCAAACTCTAATCTGTCCTTGCTAATTGTGAGTGAACCAGTGGTTTGCACCTTGTAGTAAACCCTCTGTATTTCCATTCGTGAAGACATCTTGACTGTAGACCATGACAAATTACTTTTAGGTCTTTAAAAAAGGAGCACTATGCAAAAAAATATTTTTTAAAAAATTCCTAATCAGTTAATGTAGTACTTTTGTTAAACCCCTTGAATTAAAGTCTTCATTGTTTGATCTAAAATCCACTATGGTCATGTGCAGAGGCAAAACTACTATAAAATGGGACATTATCCAAAAATGCAAAGGTGTAATTGTGTTTATTGTTATAATGGTTGATGCTCGTTAAACATTAACAGAGCTTCAAATTAGCACACTTGCAGGTAGTCCTTGCGAGCCAAAAGGCGCTGGATGAGCTGATGGGCTGCATTAAGAAGAATATAGATAAAACCTAATAGACTATTTTGTGTGTTGAATCATGCAACGCAACTTGTAGGATCGAAGAATATTAGGTGGAAAATAGCATAATAGGCTACCTTTAAAACCAATGAAAGCCACCTCACTGATCAATTTAAAAAGCTTTTTAAAATATGAAATGTTTGCGAAATGACAACAGACAACAGTAAACATGCAAATGTCACACAGTTCAAGGCATTTTCGGTTTTGCAAGGTTATCTCGGCTAAACATTTTCGTAGAACTGACAATAATCATTTAAAATGAGTAAAGCCTGTGACAGCTCCATCAGAAATTAATACTCTTTGTGCCTGATTAGGCTTCTCTCAGTTTAGAATCAACTTCGACAACTGTCGGGTTTTCCCGTCGTTTCTCTACACTCCACCTCCTGTGCAGCCTGTAAGGTTGTCAGGGGCAACTGGGAGAGACGCTTTACGCTCACACCAGAGGCTACGCGACAACACTGGAAGTAACTGTCGATGTCTGAAGCCCTTTTCAGTCTCTACAGATAAGTTGGCGTCACTTTAGAAGAAAGTGAGCTGAGGTGGGTTTCGACAAGATGACTGACTTCGTTGAATATTAGCAAGGGCCAGCCATAAATGCTAACTTTGACTAGCTTATCTGGCTTAGCTAATGTTAGCTGCTAGTTGAAGCTAATTTGGATTTATCGTCTTTCCAGTGATGCTACTATCTCCTGTAATGCTACAGTATCAGCCGGTTTTGTCAAGTATTACAGTGAACTTATAGCTTCACTTAGGTCTGCATCGTTTACTGTTTGCATGTATCCATTAATGAACTAGCCATGTCAACTCTAAAAAAAACTAAACAAAAAAAAAAACTAAAACAAACACACAGCAACCTAAAGCAGAGAATGATACTTGACTCTACATTTTAGGGCTAACTTGTAATTTTTTTCCCAGAACTTAACAAACAGAGGAATCCATCTTTTGTCTTTTGTCTCTCCTTTTTTAATATAGAGAAGTACACGGAAGATATGGCGGTCTATTTTGATCACCGCATTGAGGCCCCTGACAGCAGTGATGTACCCTTTCAGTTGACCTGGCACTCAAGTCTTCCTATATTGGCTGTGGCCTCAAGCAGTCCTGCCACCGGTGGAAAAGTAGACCTGTATCTGCAGCAGGTAACCTCGGACATAAAAGTATGTAACATTTCTCTCATATTGACACACACAAATATCGTCACACCTATCTGGTTCATGTTCAGGGGGAGCATGTGGAGAGCTGCCATGTAGTTCGTCCTCACCAGCCCACAGGGCTGCGCTGGCATCCCACAAAGCCAGTTTTAGCGGTAGGCTGGGATAATGGAGAAGTAGTGCTGCTGACACACCCCTCTGGAGATCAAACAGTCTTGCCCGGTGTACATACAACCACCATCAAACTGCTGGAGTGGAGCAGCTTTGGCAGCCGGTTGGTAACAGGTGATGAGGTGAGTTTGTTGCAATAACGTCCTGGCATATATTATTATATTACAAGTCTTTTACATGCTGATGTTTTCATGAATGATGGATCAGTTTTAATAGGATATAATTACTTATCTTTTCTGGGTATGCACTCACTGTAAAATGATGGACTTGTTTAAAAATGGCCTCATAACCCTTTCCAGATTGATGGAAGCAACAATTGCTTCCCTGAGATTGTTACTGACATGGCGTGAACACAGACTGGAAACTACCTAACCTTTGTTTTTCAAAGTGTGTACAGCATACCTTTAGTGTCATTTTTTTACCGCAGAAGATTGTTTTGTTTTTTTTAATCTGAAGTGGACATTGAAAAAAGTCATACATCCTTTTATCTCATTGTGTTTGAATAATTGTAATTCCTTCTACTGGGATCTCAGCCAGAAGTCCATCTTTCACCTCCAGCTCATTTAAATCTCAGCTGCCAGACTTATAACAAATGCAAAGAAATAAATCATCATTCTCGTCCTCACAACCTTTTGGGTATACGATACATGGGTACAAGCCTTACATGTTACAGATTTGGTCACTTCTTATGAACCAAGTCACTGCCTGGCTCAATGCAAAAAGAAAACAAACGTTTCTTGTTTTAACTCTTTGAACTTTTCTTTTGTATTTTTAACTAAGATTTTATTGTGTTCTTTAACACACTTTGTAACTGTTTTGAAAGTGCTAGGCAAATTAACTGTTAACTATTACTGTTATTATTGTTATTGACAGTCTGGAGCTTTGGCAGTATGGAAGGTGGATGCGAGAGGGAGACTTCACGGAAACCACCTTGTAAAACATGAATACAAGAAACCTTTAACTTGCTGCATCTTCAGACCGTCCACACCTGGAGAGTAAGCAGCCTTCAAAGTCCCATATCAAGTGGAAGAGTATGACATTTTTTAAATCAAATACTATTTTTTGTTTTTTATTATAGTGATGTGGCAATGCTAGCTCGAGCATCTGTGAGAGGAGATGAGCGTGCGCTGGACAAGTTTAGCTGGAAGGGGGCACCACTGAAGATGGGGCCACAGGAGGGACTTGGATTCTTTATCTGCACTGCAGATGGTAGGAGTTCGTGATTTCTGTTGGAGTTTGGAAAATTAAATCATTTGTTATTTTGAATGCATTTGACCATACTTTCTTTAAGAAACAATTTGTTTTTTCATTGCCTTGTATAATTTTGTCTGAGGCCAGCAGTCTTCTGCAGTCACAGCCCTCAATGTATAAAGGCTGTTTATTTTATTTGTTTGTTCTGTAAATTGCATTGATGATACTTTGCTTTATTTTTGAACAGTTACGAAGAACAGTATGAGAAAAGTATTCATGGTTTCAGAAAGTCTGATTAATCCAGCAGACTTATTGAAAATTATATCAAAAGTGTATTTTGCCTCTGTGAAGCAGTAATCCTGTGGGAGTCTCCAGAAAGGAGAAAATACAACAAGCTATATTGCTATTGATCAGGAATCCAGTCTGATCTTTAATAAATATGAACACTTTGTGGTTTGAGCTGTCAGATATTCCACTTATTTAATCTTTAATCCCGTGTCTTATGCATATAGGTAAAGTCCATAGTGTGGATGAGTATTGTAAGACGAGTGTCCTTCTCAGTGTGGAGGGCTCCATCAAGAAACTTCTCTACATTGAGAAGACAGAGGCCCTCGCAGTGATCACAGAGAACCTCATGCTGTCACAGTATGCTCTCGGACCTGAGGGTGGAGCACAGGAGATTATGAAGGTATACAGAAAGATTTTTTAAAAATATATATTAACCAGTAATATCAACATGAATGATCAATCTCAGTTACTTTAATTATTACTATACTTGAATATGTGAGCCCTTTTTATATTCTGTGCCAGGACTAAAGTGCGTGACTTTTTTTGTGACAGGGTAAGTTGAGCAGCAAATCCGGGCAGAATGTAGACGTTGTGTGGACAGAAGATGGCCTCCTCATCACTGCATCCGGGGAGCAGGTCATCAGGTCAGTATACACACACTGAGAAAAAAAAACATGGAAGTTTCAAACTTGAGTAATAATGTCCCTGTTGAATATTTTAGGCTGTGGGATCTGGAAAGAGATGACAACTATGTTTTGTCTCTTGATGAGACTCTGGGATATGAGAGGGGAGAGATGATCAACTGTGTTTCATACTGTGCAGGCAAAGGTAATGGCGAAGTTTGCACAGAATTGTAAATGAAAAGAAGCTTTTTCTTTCCCATCACCATATTCCTGAATGTTTCCAAATGCACAGGTTAAAAAACAAACAAACTTGTTGCTTTTTTAAAAATTGTGCAACACTCAGAAATCCTAGCAGCTGGCACCACCAATGGACGCATAGCAATGTGGAGGATGGTGGTGCAGTCGGGTAGCAGTAGAGGTGACACTAAGCCCCAGTGGAAACTGCAGACACCAACAGAAATTGGAGGAAATGTCACTCAGCTACAGGTAATGTCTTGACCAGCATTAGTACATTACTTTCGTTCCATCCATCTTCTACCACTCCAGGTCTATCCCAGATGTCATGCCAATGAAGAGTCATCAGTTAAACTAACCAGTACAGTACTCTGAACAGATACTCTGGCTTCCTCCCACAATCCAAACATACATGGGTTAGGGGTGTTTCGATTACATTACATAATTTTTTTTAAGATTATGTCACAAACCATCTGTAGTGTTCTGTTTAGAAATTCCACTTTGATCTCTCCTTCAGTGGGGCTCCAACCTGAATCTCCTGGCGGCAAACAATTCAAACACAGTTCTGATCCTCTGTGAGCATGTGATGTCAGCCCACTTCAGCCACCAGGTGGCAGCAGTGCAGCTTTCCCCAACACAGCTCAACATCACTCAGTTCCACACAGGTCTGCACTTTTCTCTGCAGTCTGACATACATGTCAGAGGGGTGTGTGTTACTAAGGTAAGGGTAGAGATGAAGGCTTTCACAAAGTATCCCTGTTGGTGACAAGCAGAAGTTTAAATTGCCGTCATGTCAACATGACTTTCTTTTTGTCACACTGTCAGGACTCAGTGACGGTCTGGAATGGCAAGCAGGTCACTGTGTATGAGCTTTCAGGGACAAGTCTGCGCAATACAGGTACAGCACTCACTGAAAAAACAGTCTAAACAGCACGGTTTCCACCTTTAATTTCACCACATCTGCATTCTCTGCCTTACGTCTTTCTGATTCCCAGGATCATTTCCTTGTGATTCGCACATGGTGGCTGTACACGGCGAGAATCTTTACACTGTAGAACCAAACCGGGTACAAATCCGCACACCTCAGGTCTGTTTGCCTCATATATTTATATAAACACAAATATGAGACAGCATATCAGCTGATGTTAAGTCAGAGTGGATTTTAAAGAATGTAAACATATTTGGATCTTGGGTATTGCTTTCAGGGCACAGTGAAGCAGCTTTTAACCTTCTCCAAGGCAGAAGGTAACCCTGTACTACTCAATGTGCGCCAGTCCTATCTGGTGGTGGGCACAGACACGGCAAACATCAGAGTGTTCGACCTCTCCAGAAGGTTGGCATTCACGTGGATGTTATCCTGGTTAAAACAATTTAAAAAGAAGCCTCTGTGCTTTTTTATTGAGTCTTTATCAACATGTTCTCTGTCCTTATAGAGATGCCAAAGCTCACTGCAGCACCAAGAACCTAGCTGACCAGATTCCCAATCTGGGAGCACTAAGGTCAGTTAAATGTAATGCTAATGGGAGCCAAGTCAGCATCCTAATCTCTCAGGTGAGTGTACTGTGAGCACATCAAACCTTGCTTCTATTTCATATTGGAAATGTAATGTCTTTATATCAAACTGTGCATATTTAACTTAAATGAACTGTGCGAGATTATTTCCTCTCAGGTGAATGGGCGACCTGATCACAAAGTGTACTTTTATGATGTTGAGATGGACACTGTGACACACTTTGACTTCTTCACTGGCAGACCTACTAGTGGTATCTCACAGCAAGAAGAAAGTGAAAAGTAACCAAAGTAGCTTTCGTCTGTTTTGATTGTGTTCGTGCACATTACCTTTTTCCCCCTTTGATTACATACTGTGCTCACTCTGTTCTGTTTTCCAGGCAGCAGTGGTCGCTCAGCGGTCGCTCTCCTGTGTCTCATTTCTGGGATGAGAGTGAACCTCGTCTTTTTGTCTGTGAGACTGTGCCAGTCAGCTCTGAATCCATATTAAATAGTTCCTTGGATATGGTAAAGACCACTCCTAAACACTGTAATATAGTAATAACTAAGGGGTAGTTAAAAAGTATGATGGCTTCCTTTCACTTAGGTGGATGTGTTGGTGGTGACCCTCTTCTGCACACAGGAGCATGGGCTCCTCCTGCAGGACTGCTCCCCTAGACCTCCAGGCATGCAGGCGCTCCTCGCTCTGGATGTGCCCTACTATTATTATAGCTGCAAGGTGAGGACTGAGAGCACGCTGCCTGTGTGTGTTCTCCATTTAGCCGGGGTGATCCACATATAAATCTGTTGCTTAATTTTTTTGTGTCATGTATCATGTGTCTTTTTATTTATGCTTGTCATTATTCTTATGTGCAACTCTGTGTTTGATCCAATACACCCCCAGCTATTATTTCGGAGGGGTGATGTATTTCTGCCTGAAGTAAGTGTCTGCTCCGTACGGTTCGTTCAGAAAGCCTCAGTGTTCTTTGTTGTGCTGTGATTGTGTGTGCCTTGCGTTCCATATAAGAAAACATGAAAACTCCAGCCAGCACAAGTGCATCTGTGGAATATCTACAACTCCAATTGTGCACAGCTACTAACCACTTAATAAGATGACATGTTTTGTGATCCCTCCTACTCAGTCTCTAGTGCTCATTGTTCCCCTTTGTATTTCACATTTATTTTATTTTTCAGTTCTCACTTCACAACATGCTTATTATGAATGGGTCTGAATCATGTGGGTGCTGATCTTACTGCTACATATTTTTACCAGCCAGGTGAGAAGGATCAAGGGTTAATAGAGGTTTCGGCATCGTCATACCAAACCCAGCCAACGACAGGGACGCCCTCCCAGGTCCCTCATATGGTGTCCCGGAAAGCTCTTAGAGACTTTGTAGGTCTGGAGAACTGTGAGAAGGCCACTCGCGACGCCATGCTCAACTTCAGCTTCTACCTGACTATCGGTGACATGGATGAAGCCTTTAAGTCTATAAAGCTCATCAAGAGGTATGTTTACATCACAGATGCATGTGTCTGCTCAGTGGTATTTGCTAATAGAGGAGGCATGGGGCATGGTATTTGCTTCTGTTTGATAACCGTCATCACATCCCCACCAATCCACTAATTGTTTCCACAGGGGCTTTAGTTCAAAGACAAAGCACACAGCACACAGGGGGTAGCATTGTTAACACAACCTTGACAGTTCTTGGAATGCTTTCCAATGCTCTGCAGTGGGAGAGCTACAACAAACTGTTGATTTTCATTTTTATCTCATTTTACTCAGCTGTTAAGGTCAAACTCTTACAATAGCTCTGTAACCTTTAGTGTGCTATGCTCTCTTAAAGTCTCATGAAGAAACTGTCCCGGCTTTTTCAACATTTTCAAAATTTGTCTTGCCTCTAAAAAACATACAGGGTATAAAGGATGGATGTAGGTGTCTGTGTCATTACCTGTTGGTAGGTGCCGCCTGGTTATGAGCTGAGAGTTTTCATCGTCACCATTTTGGCGTTTTATAACCTTACATGACAGTTGAGAGGTGGATCTGACTGTCAAGCACACCGCACTCTCATTCGTTAACAACTTGTGATCGTCAAGTCATTGGCCAATGAGCACGCACAGGACAATCCTTCTTTCTGACTCTAATGATAAGTATAATTTACAAAATGAGCTTAATTTTTTATTCAGTATGAGCTGAGTTGGAAAAAGCAGAGTATTTATTGATGTCCACAGGAACCACGGGAGCATATCAAAATTATTTGAAAATTCTGACTCAGTAACTAAAAATTACTATTATTATGTATTCAGAAGTTTGAGTTACTTTTGAGATACTTAACCTGAAATTTGGCTTGAAAAATGTTTTTTTCAATTGGGTTTCTATCGTTGGTCCTTGCTGACAATTACAATGAATAGACGTTTAAGGTACGTTAGCCTTAAATTTTCAGTCCCAGAAACGACGTCCATCATTAATACTGTTAGTCCTAAGCAATGAGAGCCTTTGTAATTAAACACCTGGCAACGAAAAGTGATGACACACCAATGATCTTTCAATTTGAAATCTCTATATGGGTCCTTTAAAATGAGCAAACTCACTGTACATGAATTAGATTAAAAACACAGGACATGATTAAGGGTTTTTTGTGTGTCTTTGTTGAGGGAAGGAACTCTTCAGTGTGTATATGTGTGACTGTTTCTGTTAGTGTGCGGGTGTGTTCTGAGGGGATGTACTTTTCTAAACATTAAATCTCACACACACACACACGTTCGAGGTCCCCCTGCCAGTTTTCGAGGTCCCCCTGCCAGTTTGGTCCAAAGCGAGTGCCCCTTTTCCATTCTTACAAACATTAAATCAGGTCACTAAAAGGATGTGTGTGTTAGTTCCTGCAAGTGTGTGTGCGTCTTTGAGAAATTTATGTGATATCAGCGATGATCTGATATTATCTTTAGGGGAGTACGTGATCCAGGGAACAATTCTGCTGTAGCGTTGCTTTCGCACGTACAAACATTACCCAAATGGGAAAATAGCATAAAAACAAACAAATGGGAAAACGGCTTACACCATTGGCCGGATATTCCAAACTGTTTAATAGGGATGATGACAGGTTTACTTGGTTCCTCATTGAAGGCTATTTTTACTGCTGCACATATTTTTTTTTTTTGAAGATTTGTATTGTGTATGATTCCCGCATATCTCCACCCACAGAATTATGCATTTCCTGCAGTACTAACCTGTATCTTCAGGGACTTGTCTCTATGATGCAGGTCTGAATCAACAAAGGGTCTCATATTTAAATCTGACTCTAGCTCGTGAACCAGAATTCATTCAGATGTAGTAGATTTATTTTGAGGAAATATCTGGTGGAAACACTAAAGACAATATGCCTGTTTGACATGTGTGCATTAAAAGGTGAGATCACCTGAGTCACAGCTGCATCAATGTGCACTATAAGAGGCCTTTCCTCCCTCTGATAATGAAACCCACAGTATCCGCGGATGAGATATAAAACATGTAACACACTTTGAAGGTGATGTTGTCAGTATCAAAATTCCTCCTGCCGTTAAAAGCAGTGTGTCACATCCAGGTTGGGATGTCTTACTCAGTGTACACTGTGCTGCTTCCTCTCATTCACATTGTCCTTGACTTTTAAGTGACATGCTGCTACAGGATTATCTTCCCACACTTATGCAAGCAGTCTGTTACAGTCTTTTTCTTTTGAATTTACTCTTCAGAGCCAAACTTTCCTTGAAATTAAATGACTCAAGAAGGTGTTCAGGCTGAGACTGGTGTGATACCCTCATGACCCCCATTTAAGCCAGTTGTCACTGGAAAGAATGAGCTAATTTTAGTTGTTCTTCCCTGTGAGGTTTTCATTCTCCATGGAACTGATATCGTCATTCAGTACTTTTTGTACCATCCTTTGATGCTTCAGGCTCGAGTCAAGTTCCTTATTATAATAGTACAACTGGAAGTTACTCTGAGACTAGGTTGTTTTGGATTTGCTGAGATATAACTGCTGGACGTGGTTTCGGGGTTCAACAGCTGTGGTGCAGCTGTACGTGTATAGTACTATGAAAAAGTGCCGCCCCCCCCCCTTATTCTTAGTTTTTTCTATATTTGTCACAATTGCATGTTTTAGTTCATTCATTAGACAAAGATAACCTGAGTAAATATAAAATGCTGCTTTAAAATGGTGGTTTAATATTTTAAGGGACAAAAACTTTCCAAACTTACCCGATGACCTGTGAAGAGGTAATAACTGTGCCACCCTTGGCAGCAAGAACTGCAATCGGGCATTTAGAGTAACTGGAGTGCTTCACATCGCTGGGGAGGAATTTTGGCCCACTCTTTGCAAAACTATTTTTAATTCATATTGGAGGCTTTTCAACCCTGAACAGCCTGTTTAAGGTCAGACTAAAGCATCTCAATTAGATTTAAGTTTGACTAGGCCTCTTCAAAACCTTCATTTTGATTTTTGTGAGTTGTTTAGAGGAGTGACGCACCAGGACTTGCTGGTGTGTTTTGGATCATTGTCCTGCTGCACTATCAGAGTGAGCTTGATTTTTGTGTGATGAACTGATGACGGACATTCTCCTTCTGGATTATCTGGTCGAGAGCATGGTACTATCGTCACACTACCACCTCCATATTTGACTATTAGTATGAGATTCTTTGTGTTAGTTTTACGTCAGCAGTCTCTTTCTTATTGTTGAATAATGAACTCTGACCTTAACCAAAGCAAGTGACTCTCGCAGTTTTTTAGATGTTGTTCTGGGTTCCTTTGTGACCTCCTGGATGAGTCATAATTTTGGCATACCGGCCGCTACTGGGAAGGTTCACCTCTGTTTCAAGTTTTCTCCATTTGTGGATAATTCAATTCAATTCAATTTTATTTATTTAGCACCAAATCACAACAAAAGTCGCCTCAAGGCGCTTCATAGATACAGAGAAAAACCCAACAATCATATGACCCCCTATGAGCAAGCACTTTGGCGACAGTGGGAAGGAAAAACTCCCGTTTAACAGGAAGAAACCTCCGGCAGAACCAGGCTCAGGGAGGGGCGGCCATCTGCTGCAACCGGCTAGGGTGAGAGAAGGACGACAGGATAATGGCTCTCACTGTGGTTCACTGGAGTGCGAGAGCCTTATAAAATGTCTTTGTAACCTGTTCCAGAATGATAGATGTCAATTACTTTGTTTCTCAGCTGTTTCCTTAGATTGTGACATGATGTGTTGCTTTTAGATTTATTAACATATTTGACTTTGTCAGACATGCTCTGTTTAAGTGATTTCTTGATCCAGCAGGCCTGGCAGTAATCAGGTCTGGGTGTGGGTAGTGAAATAGTTAATTCATGATTAACAAGGAAGGCACACAGAGCCAGGAGGGTTTGGATATATATTTTTTTTTACCTTAATAAATGAAACCATCACTGAAATCTTTTTCTAGATTTAAAATTTGTTTGATGACCTGAAACACGTAGGTGTCACAACTGTGCAAAAATTTTTCACAGCATGTTGGTCTGATGACTCAAACAAGCTCTCCTCCACATAGTCCTTATTCATAAAGTGCTTTACAAAATCAAACATTACAGCTAACTGCTGGATTTTCCCTTTTGAGTGCAGTTAGCCAAACAGCAAACAGCCACTTACTACTAAAGAGACAGTTTCTTAACATAAAACACATTTTTTCAGCCAGGAGCAGCACAAAAGTGATCCCTTAAACTGGTTTTTAGTTTTAGTGTCCTTATTTTCCTCTGAGTTATCAATTCTGTCACTAGTTAGCTAACATAAACTAATATAGAGCTATTTGCTGCAACCAACCACATTCCTTACTAACAGAAGATGACGCTAAACATGTTTTTAAAACTTTGATTTTAAACACTTATTTCTTAAATCCAGCTTCACAAACAGTGTTACATCTATGTCAGTTTTTGAGAACAGGCTCAGTGATGTAAATTAGCCTTTAAATGTGTAGCGTTTCGTGTCCTCTTTAAATCAAATCTGTTTTGGAAGCAGCCATCTTGGATCAAATATTGAGGAATACAGAGGAATAAAAATAAAAGTCCTGTAAAGAATCAGCAGGCAAATCCAATTTAAAAAAGAAATGCAAAAGTTTGTTGACTTTGCCCCGAAATAGTTTTTTTTTCTTTCTCAACACAGTGACATGATTGGCTAATGTGTTTCACATTAAGATAATTAATCAGCTCTTTGGGAGCATGGGCAGGACAACTGTCATCTTTAGTTTTTCTTCAACAGATTTCTGTCCCACTTCTCCTCTTAATGTAATTTCTGGTTAAATGTTATGAGAAGACAACTGCTGATAAAGAATTTCCAGTTAATAAATGGTTAAAGTCACTAGAAAAATGGTAATTCATTAAAATAAACTTTTAATGAATGAGCCTTTGTCATGATGTTGGGCACCAAGCAGCAAAGACAACAACCACTGCTTTATTATACTTACCAATAAATTTATTGAATTTACATGATATACATGGTATATTATTATTTTAAT